CTATCAGGGCTTTCTTTCCCCCAGCTGCTGGCAAGCTTCCCCGCCCCTGCTACTGCCTCTGCTTGCCATTCGTGAGGCATTGCTCCGCCTCCCACCCACCACTAGTCGCTCCCTCAGCAGGCGACAGGCATGGGGTGAGATCCCTTGGTTGCCTGGGCCTCCCTCTGTGGGGCAATCGATCGTGGAGCCCCCAGATTGATTGCCCGCAGAAGGAGGCCTGCCCACTCACTGCAGCACCGACAGCCGGGTGGCCTGAGCCTCCAGACCACCCTTGTGGGGCGATCAATCAGGGGGCAGGGGGAGGGCAGATACACACGATGACTGGCTCAGAGGAACCATTCAGCCAAAAGCCCTAAGCTGGGCTCATGGCTGGCAAGCAAAACAGTGGTGGCAGGAGCCTCTCCTGCCTCCGTGGCAGTTGGACATCCCCTGAAGGCTCCTGGACTGCTAGAGGGTGCAGGCCAGGCTGAGGGACCAGCCCCTGAGTGCACGAATTTTGTGCACCGGGCCTCTAGTATCTTATAATATGATCACCACACTAAGGCACGTACCCATCTGTCATACAAAGTTATGGCAATAGAATTGACTATTCTATATTTCCTCATGACATATATTTTCTTATAACTGGAAGTGTGTACCTCTTATTCCCCTTCACCTTATTCACCCCATCCTGCTACCCTCTGGCAATCATCAGCTTGTTCTCTGTTTCTATTGGTCTGTTTTTGTTTAGTCATTTATTTTCTGTTTTTAGATTCCTCATATCAATGAAATCATATGGCATTTGTTTTTCTCTGACTTATTTTACCCTCTTTGTCCATCCATGTTGTCTCAAATGGCAATATTTCATACATTTCATTCTTTCTTGGGCTGCTTAATATTCCACTGTATATATTATATATACATCATATATTATATAAATACTTATATATGTATATCATATCTTCTTTATCCATTTCTCTATCAATGGAAACCTAGATTGCTTTTTCTTGGCTATTGTAAATGCTACAATAAACATAGAGTTACAC